TTCTTTGAATTCATGTATCTGTCATCAAATTCTCATACTCGGTTACACAATGAACCAGTTATGAAATCGAAGAATATGTGGTTCTTTAAAGCCTGTTGCTTCCATAATTTTATTTAGCAACATATTAGTTATGTGTTTATGCAAAATCAATTGTTGATTGGGTTTGTTGCAGTACGTGATGATACTGGTAAATGGAGGTGTACCGATCTCGTTTGGGGGGACAGAAGAACCAGCTGCTTATGGTGAACTAGTCTCCATTGGGGGTCTGGGCCCCACTGTCAATGGCAAGCTTAGTGCCACCATAGCCGAGATACTGCAGACCAAGCTTTCTATTGATAGTGCCAGGTTTTACATAAAGTTTTATGATGTTCAGGTACATTTGCATAATTTACTACTCAAGTATATAGTATACTCGGCTAGAAGAGAAGCACTTAGACCATCTTTACTCACGACCTGATGCAATGGGTCGTGAGGTATGACAAAAAAATAAAAAAATAAAAAGGAAAATTGTGTAAATTTCGCCGACCCATGTCAAAGACCATGTCAAAGATTGACATGGGTCATCAACCCAAAATTGTAGATGAAATGGAACACTTGTCCCACTTTTATTGGATGAGACAATTTTTTTGATAAGGTATAGATAATTAAAATTATCTATAACAATTTATATTAGAAAAAAAATACTAAAATTCGTAATTTTTCATTCTCTATAAAAGGAGACTACAGTTGATAGGTTTTGGAACACAATCAATTTCTCTCTTTTCCACTCTTTTCCTAATCACATCTTATTAATTTTATCTTCTCTTTCATTTTTTCTAATTTCCAACAAATCCCTTATGGATCCAAATTTTGAGTATTACCTCAATACTCAAAATTTGTCGAACTCTGAAAATTATCCAAATTTCCAAAATTATTCACAAGAATCTTACCCAATTTTCGGTTTCTGTAAATGTCGGAAACTCACAAAACGTCTCTCGAAATTTATTTGTAAATGTGCAACAGACACGTACAAATCCTCAAAAAGGAGCGAAAAATAGTTGGAGCGTCGCGGAAGATCTTGCTCTAATGTCTGCTTGGTGTTTCGTTAGCGAAGACAAAAGATGTGGCAAGAATCAGAAGGGTTCTTCGTTATGGACATGCATAGCAGGTACGTTTGAACAATCTCGATTGGAAAATCCAGAAGGAATTTGTGAAAGAAACTTGGATTCAATGAAAGGTCGTTATAAACGCCTTAATGAAAATGTAAACAAGTGGAGAGGTGCATACATGGAAGCATACAGGAATAAAAGGAGTGGAATGAGCATGAAAGATGTTGAGAAAGAAGCTCATATAATTTATGAAGCCGGCGGCAGCACCAAGTTTACGGACTTGCATGTATTTGAAGAAGTTATGCGAAAGCATCCCAAATGGGAATTAAACTTAGATCGTGATTCAACTCGTTCACGTCCTGAGGATGATGTGAGTAATGAAGAAAGTCGTGGCAGTTCAAAAAGATCAAAGACCAATGAAGATGGAGATTATTCAATTCCCTTAAATCTAGAAAGTCCAATTAGTGATGGTTCAGCAATTCCCCTTTCTGAAGGTAGAGATATGGCTAAAAAGGAAGGAAAAAACGTAGCATCACAATCTTCTTCAATTCCTGATGAGTTCACTCCAGCAATTCGTGCACTAAGGATTACAAGAAATAATGAATATGATTTAATGACCAAAATAGCGAACGATATGATGGAGTTGGAACGCAAAAAAGAAGAAAGAAAGATTAAGAAAATGAATATGATGATGTTGAATACGTTGTTGGCAAAAGACCATTTATCGCCGGAAGATGAAGAGATGAAACGTCATTTAACAACAATTGTATTTGGAAAGTCGCTGTAATTTATTATGTTTTTTTTTAGTTATTCTGATTTAAGCTTTTCAATTCCTACAATTCAAGTTATCAATAAAAGTCTAATAATCTTTTTCAGAAATCACATGTACTTCCATGATTATCCTATTTACTAGTATAATAGTCGCATATAAAATGAATGGCCAATAACTATTTGGAATAAAGTGTATGAGTTATTACTATCAAATAGCAGCTTTATTTTGTCTTCCAAATCCCACATGCATTGATTTAGCTTTTACTTTATTTTACTTTACTTTTGCTTTTACTTTTACTTTATTTTTTCTTTTAAATCCCACAACCTCACACACAAATCCATCACCCATCTCTTCTCTCTTTCTCTCCCTCCCTCTCTCTCTCTCTCTCTCTTTCCCTTATTTCTTCATTTTATCTTCTTGCAGCTCTACAAATCAAATTTATACCAAAACCATCTTATAGCCATTTATTAATTGTCAATTACAATTTTATTTTTGGTAAGACAATTCATTCTTGTTCACAAATGTCTTCAAGTGAAAACCCATGTGAAAATTCAAGTTCTAGTGCTGAAACTTCCAATTTCATCGAATTTGATGAATGAGAAGAACGAGTAATTCAACAAAATCAACTATTTGATCGCATTATGAAAGATGTGATTGTTTGTATTCCCAATATAGTCGTACAACCAACAAATCAATATGTAATACAATGTACCTATATAATTTATTGAAAATGTTATATAAAATTTAAATCGTGCAAAATTATATAAAAATATCTATTTAAAATTAGTACAGATCCCGTGCGTTGCACATAATTGATAATAAATTAGATTATATCATTTCAAAATATCTGTCATATTTGATTTGACTATAACATGATTCCATAAAATAAATATTTTAGTAAAATTTTATCATATATATATATAGATGACTAATAGATCACAACTTCGTAATAGAGAGACTCATGCGGCTCTACGAAACGACTTGATTGAGCACATATGGGAAAATTTTGGTAATGGTAATTGATATGTGATTTCATTTGAAATGTTTGTAACTTGTTTAATTAGTTTCAGTATTTTATTTCTATTTTTTGTAATTTCTTTTTTAATTGGCTTCGTAATTTTTTTCAATTGTATGGTAAAATATTAATTTAAAAATTATTACGACTTTAATTGTAGATTTTTAATTAATTTATCACATCTAAAATAATAAAAAAAATCAATTGTAGATAATACTTAATAAATAAATAAATTAAAATAAAATAAATATTTTAGTTGGGTTGGGTTGTGGATAAAGATATGTTAGGTTGTAAAAGTTGGATTATGTAGGTGGAAAGAGAAATAATTTTTTATTATTGAGTTGAGTTGGGTTAGGTTATGGGTAAAGATAGTCTTATGTTAGAGTTTCCAGCTTTTGGTTTTGGCCTTCTTGGCATGAATTTGGCTAGAAACCCTTTTCAGATCTCTCATCTATAAAATTTGTTAACATGTAGAAGAAAGAGTTCAATTTTATCCTGCACCTCTAATATTTTCTGGATCTATATGTTCATTATTTTCTATGTATATATGTGTATATGTGTGAAAACTCGACGAAGTAATTGTTGCTAATCTTCCAGATGGGAAAGTAATCTTCTTTTTCAGGGTAAAGGTGATAATATATCACTATTTCCCAGAGTTTGCAGGAAGTTCTATGTACTTGTGTTTGTATATGTACTTGTGTTTGTTTTTCCAATGATGTTTGAGCAGCATCATTTATGTATATACACGAAATGTTTATTAACTCTATCATTCTACTTGGTCTTTTGTCCAGCGCCCGTTCTTTGGCTTCAATGGCTCGACTTTCTGATTAGAGTGGCACACACTCCATCGAGACAATGGTTCAATAACTAGAAGAAAGCTTATTTCTTTCATTTCCTCCTTAAGATGTGGTATGGTGTTTCTTGTTATCAACAGGCATGTTTTCTTCCTCCCATCTTGGTATTGTTCGCCTTGTATTTGAAATATAATGGTCACAGATGTTTCGACTTTTGTGTTCTCCATTGCCATTATATCTGTTGGATTTTTTTTTTAAGTTTAAATTATCATTTACTATGTGGATTCTTGTATCTAGTTGCTCCTCGTCATTAGTATCAGCTATTATGTCATTTGTATCCTTACATTACACAACGGGTTTGGTGATTCTGATGGATCATGTGGATGGGACCAAATATCTTGCCCCACTTTTCTATTATATATTTCAGGATTCATTCTATTGGATGATTGACACAGGTTTTGATATGATACTATCATGTATACATTTCATCAATAAAATGAAATGAAGTATGAGATGTAATGAAAAGGGTATTTCATTTTCACAAGGCTACTTCTTGGTGAATGCTTGTTGAGTGAATACAAAATCGTGATGGGTGTGTGTACTATCTTAAGGGCATGTAAATTGGAAAAATAATTGAAGTTTCTCAGAGTAAATCTTGATTTTGTACTTGTACCAAGGGCAATACCAGGATGGTCTTGAACTTTGGATGAAAATGGGCTAAAATGCGCCCGGAAAAAAGGATGAAATGAAAAGAAATCAACAAACAAAAGTGTGTAGGCTGAAAGTTCAATAAATGGAAAAAGAATGAAATGAAAAGAAATCAACAAACAACCGCATGCCTTCAATCTTGTGTGTAGGCTGCGGATNAAAAGGTATTAAATGAAGAGTATTTGAAAGAAAATTGTCGTCTTCCAGCGGCGAAACCAGAAAATGATTTGAGAGGGGCAAAAGACATGACATAATGGGTTCATAACCGATATTGAACCGATAACATTTCGGTAACTGGTTTTTGGTTACCGTTACACATAAGTCGGTTCGGTTTGGTTTATTTTCTCATCAGCTCGGTTCGGTTCGATTTTTGATTTCGGTCAAAAAATACCAGTCCTAGAGTTGAAGTCTTTTATATGTGCCAATTAAAATTGTAAAATGATAATAATTAATATACAAATTTAATAGTAAAGTAAAAGAAGTGTTGAACTGTTAATTGACAATTGTGGACAAGTTAGTTTGGTGAGTGACATGTAAAAACAAAAAATTTGGGAGTGCAAAAATAAATTTAAGGGGGGAGGGGAAATTAAAATTTTTAATATTAATATAAAAAAAAATAAAATTTGAGGGAGGCAATTGCCCCCCTATTAGTACACGTAGCTTCGCCACTGTCGCCTTTTACTTTTTCTCTCAAAGAAATCAATTGATTTGCTGGGTAGAAGAAAGAAGAGTTGGGGAAGATGACGATTACAATTTGGGAAAGATGAATTGTGTCATTCACTTTCGTTTATAAATTTTTATTTTTATATAATTGTTGTCATGTCATGTCATTTTGTAACCCAACAACGTCAAGGAACTTGGGTAGTGCAGAGGTATCGTTCATCATATCAAATACAACCCTTACTAAATTAAGTAATGCTTGCTTTCATAATTAGCTGATAAATTAGTTTTCTAAATTAAATATAGATCATATAAAGAGAGATGCATTTTCTACAAGCTAAGAACTGCAGAAGGCACCATAAACATATTTATTTTAATATTTACAGGGAACTGGTGCACATGTATGTACTGAACACCTAATAAATTGAAAAATAAATACATGAATTGAAA